CCACTCATCCCTGAAAAAGTAAGTTTCTCACAAAGATATTTTAATGAACTGAATTCTTTTACAAAGGCTAAGTTCTATCTAAAAGCTGCTATCATTAAATTATTCTTATTGATGTGCTATAGAAACCATAGAACATGGTATATTATGTTGATAAAGAATATCTTCTCTAGACTTGAAACCATGATATAGTCAATGGGAAAAGAATAAATATATAGATGTATCAAAAAATCAGAATTTAAGCCAGGCACCAGTGGTTCATGCCTATAATCTTAACTACTCAAGAAGCTGAGATCTGAGGATAAAGCTTTGAAGTCAGCCTGGGCAGGAATGTATGTGACTGTTATCTCTATTAAACTACTCAGAAAAGTCTAGAAGTGGTGCTGTGGCTCAAGTGGTAGAACACTAGTCTTGAGCCTTGAGTTCAAGCACCAGGAATGAAAAAAATATCAGAATTTATAAAATATTTTTTACCTTAAAAGAGTAATTTAATTTTTGATTAAAAATACTGTAGATATGTGTTAGTTTAACTATAACAATCTGATAGATTAAAAGTGGATTTGATCAGTAAGCATAGCTCATAAATAAATCCTTAAAAATATTAACCACTATAGTGTAATAGAAGGGAGATGGAGGATGAAATAACTGAGGCTTTATCTGTCCTCTGCAGTTAGAGCATGACACAGACTTTATAAAAATGGTGTGAATTGAATGGATCAAGAAAATGTGAGATATATATATATATATATATATATATATATACACACACACACAATGGAATTCTATGCCTCCATCAGAAAGAATGACATCGCCCCATTTGTTAGGAAATGGAAAGACTTGGGAAAAATTATATTAAGTGAAGTAAGCCAGGCCGAAAGAAACATGGGTCCTATGGTTTCCCTTATTTGTAATAACTAGTATATGTCTGGGACAAGCAGAAAAGGTCAAAAGCTATGTACATATGACCAGATAAGATTATGTTAAGTAAATGAATCCCAAGATAGGGACACAAGTGGTTTTTTCTTGCTTGCTATTGTTTCTAATGTATTTATAAGGTACCATGTGATTTTTTTGTTGCTTTGTATGTTCCTCCCCCAGGGTATAACCCCTGTTTTCACTGTATTTTATGTCAGTATAATTTGGGGAGGGGAAGAGAAAAAACAAAATGTTTAAATAGGGATACAGATGACCCATTGTAACAATGAGATGTACAAGACACTGTTGAACAACAAACTTTAATATTCAGGGGATTTCGAGGAGTGTAGTTGTGGAAGTGGGAGGGAAGGGATGGTAGGGGAAAAACAAAGGAGGAGGCAACAGTGCTTGACAAGAAATGTACTCATTACCTTGCTCATGTAACTGTAACCCCCCTGTACAGTACTTTCACAATAAAAACTTATCCAAAAACATGGTGTGCAAATGCTATCCTGGGAATATAAAAAATAAAGTCAATCCTTTTCTAGTTTCCACACCAAGAGATTTACTTAAGATACAACAAATTATAAGAATCATATTTTCCTCACAGCATAAATAGGAATTTGAATTCACAAGCAAACACCCTCCTAAAGTATCTGTTAATATTAGTAATTATTTTAAATTATTACTCTGATTTTTAAATGGTAAAAATTGACTTATCAAAAACATAAGAACAGTTTACAAAATCATTTATCATACTTTTAAAAAAATACTACTTACATGGTTTTAGAAGTATCTCTTTATGGATTTATATTATATTTTATAGGATTTATGTTATGTACTATATTATAAATATAATGTTAAAAATTTTATTCAAGGAGGAAAACATAAATGATTTTAAACTACCTACATAAGTAGGTAAAATGTGCATGGCAACTTTTATAATACTATCTTAATTGTGGCTTTTCTCAATTCTAATAAAAAGAATCTTACTTTTTCATTTGTGGAAAACAGTCAGGTTTTTATTTGTTTCCATTACAATAGACCTAGATGTGTTTGTAGTTGTATAAGAGGTCAGATACTCTTTCTTTTTTTCCCAATTAAAGCTTGCAAATTGCAGAAAAATCAGCACTGATTCAGAAGTTAGCAGTTGGAACTAAAACAATCATGAATTTTTATTTATTTATTTATTTATGTCAGTCATGGGGCTTGAACTCAGGGCCTGGGCACTGAGGTCTTTTGCTTAAGAGTGGTGCTCTACCACTTTGACCCATAGCACCACTTCCAGTTTTCTGGTGGTTAATTGGAGATAAGAGTATCACAGACTTTCCTGCCTAGACTGGCTTTTGAACCACTATCCTTAGATCTCACCCTACCAAGTAGCTAAGATTGCAGGCAGGGGAGAGCCACAGGCACCTGGTTTGAACCTAAAAACCTGGTAACATTTTTAAAAAAATAAAGAAAATTTTAAAAGTAAAACTAATTCAGATTGTCTCTGTATTTCTAATTTTCTTTAACAAAAGGAATTAGGCCTCATTCTTAATCATCTTATTCTATATCTTGTTTCAGATATGAAGATGTTTTATTTTTGCTAGAAAAAGATGTTTGAAGCAGCCCTTAAATCTCATATTTTAATGTATAAAATGTTCATCAAAATTAACCCAAATAGTAATCTTTCTCTTAAATTTGACACTTGTCTATGACTTGTCAAAAACTCTATTTAAAAATATAATTAACCTTTTCCCCTTCCAAAGAAAAATAATTGAAAGTCTAAATATCAAAACCTGCTTTGTGTCAAAGATATGTAAGTTTTATGTAAGGAGTAAGTGTTTTTCAGCATTTGAAAAATTCTTTGAATGGTCTCATACTGATAAGATAAATACTGACAAGATAAGTCATGTTGCTATAGCTCAAGACAGAATGAACTATAAACACCAGTCTTATTGCTTCCTCTTTTTTAAACACAAATTCTCGTTATAAAAAGTCCTATATTACTAAATGACTGTAAACTATTACATTGAAAAGCACTATCATTTTATAACTTGTACAGTTGAGTTCTAAATTTAACAAAATTTAACTGTGGGAAATAACACATACTTAAAAATAGTTAAACTTCCCTTGGAAAACTTGAAAAATTATCTCTTGATCGAGTAATTTTTTTTATTTTGAGTAAATGTATACTTTATTACTAATTTGATGTCATAGAACTACTGTATTGTTTTTGCAAGGGTTGTAGGGATTGAATTATTCTTGATTGTCATGGAATGGTTCTATTTCTTTTTCTTCTTTTTTATCTTTAAGATTGTGCTCCATAGTTTACTGCAAAAACTTATCTATTTTACAGTGAAGTTATAACTATAAAATTATATGTGGTCAATAATGCTAATAATATTTCATAACATAATTCTCTGAACTAGTTGCTTTTCACTTGAGGTCCTCATTAGCACAGAAAAAAATCAACTAAGTAAGTCAATACAAATGATGTTAGTCTAAGAAGTAAAACAGAATGCATAGCAAGAGATAGCAAAAATAGTAATAATAATAAACTGATATAGAAGCCTCTCAAGGAACTTCTTCCATTTCTACTTTACAAACAGAAGAATTGAGTTGATCATGTTATTTAACACCTACCAAGTTCTTAGAGAAGAATCTAGAGAAAATGGAGGAAAGCCATAGGCTAAAAATCTTGACCTTAGCAGTAGGAAATATACTGAACATTTTAATAAGGACTGAACAAGGCAACACCTGGACAGTTATTTAATTAAGGAACTCAGCATGAGTCACAAAAAAGATATCAGGATGAGAAATTATCCCAAGATTTAATTGAAAGCCTTGCTATCAAAAATGCCAAAGACATTCCACTTCATCTTCATTTGGATTCTATTTTTGAAACACATAGATTTGAGTGTGGAAAGTAAAATCAGAACAACAAAAAACATTTTTAACTAAAGCCTCCTAGTGAAGATGTGTGGGCAAAAAGTTAAATTAAATAAAGGCGCTTCTTGAGACACCAAGTATTATAAACCCAGTAATGACTACCTAAATACTAAATACGAAAAACAAAAAGAAGCAAGGACCTGAGCTAAAATCATCAGCATTCATCAATAAGGTAGAAAATGAGAGCAAGCTACAAATTTAGGCTACTGACATATTAAAACTTCAGATGATCATGATATTAATTTCATGTAAAATAATAATGTAATTTATAATATGCTGGCCCAACTTAGGTTGAATTATAGATCCCAGGAGGCTAAAAATATTATAGCAAAGAAGAGAAACCAGTCTTTGGTTAAGTATATAGAATTCTGGGCTCAGAATTCTGAGAATTAATGACTAGACAAGCAACTTTTTATACTAGCACTTTCTAGAATGCACATATCTATATTTCTACTGAGAAATGGAAAGCCTTACCTATCTCAAATAGTGGTTACGTGAATTAATCATCAAATGTTCAAAGGAATTACAGAAATCAGACCATCAGATGGTGATCTCTTCCCAGATCACTGGAATATGCTACATATTTTTACACTGATACAGGAATGAGGAATTGTCTACATTAGGTTACAATTATTCAGATTGTAAGCTCCTCGTAGACAAGGAATATTCATATTCCCTCAGCATTAAAAAGGAATGCAGTCAATATTTGCTAAGAAACAAATTAACTAGCAGCCTTTTCCAGATTCTTCTAAAAAAATTGTCCAAATCGATTCTAAGTAGTAAATAAAGTAAGATTTTTCTCCATGGTATTATCATTTAATAAAACACATAGCAGAAAGTAGCTTGTGGCAATAAAAATAGCATCTGTATGGTACCTTGAAACCAAATGGTTCTTGGTCATGTGGGGCAAATGGCAGAAGAGAAACAAATTAGGCTTATTCCACTTACACATCACATCAGAGAAGAAAGCTTCGACTGCCACCTAGTCAATATTTCTTACATCCACTTATACAGTTGTGTACAACATCCTTGAGTAACAGCCCTATTGGTGCTGTTTACAAGACATGGGTACATTTGCAACATTTTAAATTCCATTTTCAAGTAGGAAAGTATATAAGTATAATCAGACGAGAGTAATAAAATACACTGACCTGGATCTGTTGCTGCAGGAGATTAATTTTGTGCTGCTGTTGCAGAAGTTGCTGCTGTTGTCTTGCAATCTATCAGAAATAAAGTTTCATTAAGTTAAAATGAAATGCTTACACCTTTGCCATTACCTCAGGGATCTCTCCTGGTATTACAAGACTGCTTTACTGCAGCTTGGTGGGACAAGTTCCTACAAAATAAGAGCAGTAGAATGAGAAAGTTGGAGAAAAGAAAAGATTTTGAAAAAGGTGTCATCTCTGCTTTATCTGGAGATGAAAACTATCCACTTCATATCACATTTGTGAAGAACCCACCTATAACTGCACTAGTCAGCTGGAAATGATGAGACTTGGAAAATCTGATCCATGCAGAATGCAGACAAGAAAACTTTGGTCATATTTATCTGAAGAACTTAATTTGGATGCAAAAAGTAAAATCTGTAAGCAAATACAGGAAAACGCTTTCTATTATTCTTAATATGGTCTACCTCTTCTGATTTTCAGAGTTAATATATTTACCAATATTGTCAAAGCAGTATAAAAATATATGTAAGTTAAAAACTCTTTAGTTTTAGCTTTTTAAAATTGATTTTGAATGTGATCTACAAAAATATTTTAAGACACACTATGCTGTAATTAAGGATAAACTATGTTATAATTACCCTCAAAAGGATAGCGTGTTTATTTTACAGTAAGGGATCCACATACAAGTAGATCCACAATCAAATTTAATATACCAACACTCAAGCTGGTCTTCGAAAAGAAATACTATCCCTTTTACACAAGTTCTATTGAGAACAGAATCTGTCCTTCAGAAGGGCAATTACTTCCTTAGGATAATGGTGTTTCTCTGTGAAACGTGAGTTAGGCAAGCTGCTGCTTTCACCTCAAAGGCTGAGCTGCCTACAGCCTGAAGCTCAGGAAGATACCCCTGAGAGTACGTGCCAAGGGAAGCCTGGCTTTCCTGTGTCTTAGGAAGTCTGAAAGGGAAGTCCAAAGACCACTTAAGGAGGACTAGGCTTTGTGGTTCCTTCTGCTCAAGTTTGTCTATCTTTGTCTATTTCCAAAAAGCTGGTGTTCTCGAATGTGCTATGTTGGAAGTGGAAAATTAGTGTGGATCAGTTCCAGTCTCCACCTGTATGCCTCCTGAGCCTTTCTGGTGTGCTAGCTTGAGTACCAGGAGGAAATGCCCATTCACATTTCATTCAACCTAAGATGGCCACACAGCACTCTACTCCCAGATACAGTTCTGGTGATGACTGGCTCATACTGGAAGTCATGATAAAACTGCTCCTAACATAGACTGCGGTTTGAAAAATAAGGCTACTTGTTTTTTTTAAAGTTTTATAAACAAAATGGAAACTGTTAACAAAATGGAAACTGTATTTAATCGAGTTGGAATGGCTCACTGTGCTTGTCACCACTCAAATCAGAAATGGACAACTAACTCACTCTGCAGCTTTAGGTACAGACATTGGAGCCTCTGAATATTTATTTCCTCTTAGCAAACCAGTGAAACACCAGTAGGCATCTAATATTGATGGTCCCTCCTAAATGATAAAGTGCTGCATAGAAATGCATCGAAGACACCACAGTGCAATTACTATCATCCACTGTAGACGTATGGGTTTGACACAGTGAAGTATGGTACATAAGCACCATGTGGCTCAAATTCTGAATTTTATTTGCCAATCGGTTGAGCTACATGCTCGCTTCATTGAGCATGACAACCTAGTTTTAAGTGTCATTTAATTTTCATTTTGAAATATAATTACAAAGTGTTCACTGTAAGATATCACTCGTCTGCAAATGTGTCAAGATTAATTTGTGCTAGCTTATTCACAAGTGTCAATAGTTAATTACTGTGTCATCTCTGGATGGCTAAATGACATTCTAACTTCTGATTTTTTACAGTGTTCCTTTATGTTATTTTCCATTAGGGGCTGAGTCCATATTCCTACATGTGGGCAAATATTCAAGCATATAAAATACCAGACGTCACAACTCATTAAAATCAACAGAGCATATATTGCTCTATATACCCCTATAAAATACTTGTAACTGAAAAGATAATTCCAGTAATAATGTCAGATTCCTAAAAACTGCACATTAATTTAGGTCTGTCTGATCTAAAGCATGAGAGACCACTCGATAGAACAATTGTTCTTAGAATAATGTACTCTATGAGACAAGAAAAACATTTGAAAAAGTGTTTCATTTTTTAAAATAAAAGATATACGTTTAAACTTTGTTTTTTCATTCTTCTAAGCCAATCAAGTCAAATTTTTTTAGTAACCATGTGTTAATCATTTTCAATAATTTGCCTATGCTATAAATAGTGATCATATAATTTATCCTCCAAACCATGTCAACTTTTGCAAGTACAAGGAGTAGGGTACTAATAATTACACTGGAAAACAGGCATGAACCAGGGATATTTGGAGAAAACTCGGATGTAGAGTTGCTCCAGTTTTAAGGACAGAGGAAATCATTGGCCCAGTGAGCTGAAAGAGCCCCTGAGTTTTTCTAGAACAGAATCCCTTCACCGCATGAGAAAAGGAAGGCCCCAGGAGAAGCCACTTACTCACAGCTAGCATTGGAATTACCTATGATGCTCATGTAAATTAATATATTGGAGTAATTAATCAAATTGAACCTTCAAAACCAATATATCACTTCAGTTATACACAGTTGTTATGATGAGTTCTTTGCCTTTCCATATACAGCCCTTGCCCCAGTTTTCTTGATGACTCTGGATTTCCAGAAGTCTGTTTCCTTTCTTATTTTTAATTTTTTAAACTTATTTTATCTTTTTTTTTTTTAAAGAAAGCTTACAACAAATAAACCAATCGATGTGGTTCCTTGCTGAATTTGGCACACTCCACCTCTCCATTTCCTCAGCTCCTTTTACAGGGCTCACCTGTTCTTGCTGTTGGCGAGCAAGGTCCATTTGCTGCCGTTGTTTCTCAATTTGTGAGGCTGCCAGTTTTTTCTGCTCATCATGGGCTGCCAGGAGCTGCTCCCGTAAACTGATCAGCTGGGTAATCATGGTGGAGAGCTGCCGCTCTTTTTCTGCCAGGCTCTCAGGTGTACCTAAAATGGAAGCAAGAAGAGACCTCACAAGCTTGAGGAATGTCTGAAGGAATCAGAGAACAAAGGATAGAACTTAGAAAGGGGACTCCTTAGTGACACTCGTAGGGACACTTAGAGATCTGGCACACTGCATGCAGGTTCCCCACCGTTGTGAGTGTGAGATGCCACAGAGTAGTTACAGCAGTAGAATGAATGATTGGGCTCATTGTTTTCCTTGCCAAGAAAATGTGCTGTCACCAATAAAATCCCTGATCTTCCTTCCACTTATGGAAACAAAAGCAAAGAACTATTTACCTCATTCACTTTTTCACTGACTCCCATCTATCTCATCAAATTAAGAAACCTATAAAATTTAACATCAAGGAAACAATGTAAAGATGATATTAATATGCTATCATTACTTCTCAGAGACTTACATAGTATCAATAGCTAAGACATAGTAGGTGCTCATTAATAAATGTTATTTAAGCAATTTTCTAATCTTCATCCTAAACTTTTTGTTTTCTGCAAAGATCTGCCTCTTAAATTCAGAAGCTGTGGGTCAATCTCTTGGCCATGGGACAAGTTCTACAGAGAGAAAAAGCTGCCTCAGGTAAGAAAATATTGAATTTTTTTCTGTTAAGGAATCAAGCTAAAGTTTCCAAGTTCATCCTTAAAGGCAACAATGTTGCTGGGGGGCCTGGGGAGTGCACCCTGAGCCCTTTGCCATTTGTCATTCTTCAAAGGGAAAAAACACATTTCGAGGTTGAAAAGGTTATGCATAAGGATATGCTGTTTAATGACGATGATGTCGCTGAGCACTTATGGTATGCACTAATGGTGCTGAACAGTCTTTTTATGGGCAAATTGCACAGCTCTCCTAAGTAAAGGGTACAGAATCCTTTTGTGAATCTAAATTAGAGCATTTTACCGCAGCATAAGATAAGAATTTCAACCCACTGTAGTTGAGCCACACGGGTTTCATTATGAAGAAATGATCTATGATTTGAAAGCTTTTCAGAAAGATGCCACCAGCTGTCAAAGGGGACAAAGATTGCCAATTTTTGTGTATAGAGAGAGGGAGACTTCCAACCTCCTACGAAACCTCTTCATTCCTATGAAGAGATCATCAGAACAATCTAAGGAATTAAAAGTATCTTCATGAGGAGTGATCCTATTTTTTGAGTGACCCTATGGAGCTCCACAGAGCAAAGGCACTTGTAAAGGGTGCTGACTTTACCTGTTCTCATATGTCTCGTATGATCGTTACAAGGCAAGAATGGTAGGAGCAGAGGAGCTACCATATTGAGGACCACCTCCAACCTCTTAATCTCTACTAGAGTCCTCAAAAATAATTGTCGGTGTCCCTTAAAGAATCACAGATCTGAAAAAGGACTGACTGAAGAGAAAAGATGGGGGAGGGGAGTATATTCCACTGATAAGGAAGCAAACACCATTACTGATTAAGTCTTCTTTCTAGCTCCTTCATTTTCTTGAAAAGAAAATGGGTTTATTTTAGGAATAGGAACTTCAGCTTTTTTTAAAAAAGAACTTCTTGATCCAGAAACATCAACTACAAACATCCAAAAACAGTCCTTAAAAGAGATCATAAAAATCTCTTCAAAAGCATGAATAAGCTTGAGCCATGTGTGTATTAGTATACACATGAAAGAAAAGATGCAAATTTATGAAATTTATGTCTTTACTTCATTCTTTTTAATTTTAACACTTCCTGAAAGACACTGTGTGCCAGGAACTATATCAAGTGATCATACATATAAAAGTAAACTATAAATAAATAATTACAAATAGACAAATATTAACCAAGTTTGGAGGGCCTATGTTCAAGGAAGTTCACCTCAAAAAATAGCGTATTAAAAAGAGGGTGAGTAAGAGTTAATTAGGCAAAGAGTTGGAGAGTTTGAGCCAGAATCTTTCCAGGCAATACTACCATGGCAAAGTAACTAAAACTGAACCAGAAGAACTGCCCAAAGATGTTTGGTCAAGGAGAAAACAATATAGGAAGAGTTCCCACATGTGTGTTAGGGTAAATAGGGTTTTGTGTTTTCCAGAAATTGAACAACAAAAATACAGTATGAGAGAAGGCCAGAAAGGTACAAAAAATTCACAGCACTTAATCCCTAAGAAGGGTCACATTTAATGACCTTATTTAGTCTTCTAATTCTACATATAATTTTCTTACACCTACTGAATACTGGGATTGTTACTATACTTTAATTCTTGGTTAATAAAGAACTCCCAAGGAACATTTTGAGAAAAAGCCAATGCAAGAATCAGATTTGATATTTGGATTACTTAGAAAAGACTCAAAGTTTTTCTGTTCTCTCATGATAAACAAAATCTTTTTGGGGCTGGGAATGTGACTCAGTGGTAGAGCGCTTGCCTTGCATGCATGAGGCCCTGGGTTCGATTCCTCAGCACCACACAAGCAGAAAAAGCCAGAAGTGGCGCTGTGGCTCAAGTGGTAGAGCCTTGATCTGAAGAGTTGAGGGACAGTGCCTAGGCCCAGTGTTCAGGCCCCAAGACCAACCAAAATAAAAAGTCTTTTCAATAATCTTCAACCTATTTCCTTTTCTTTTTTGATTGAGAAATGGAAACTGAGTGACTTTGGCTCCTTTATCCAAGGTGAAGTCAGAATATGTACAGATGCTCTGGCACTTCTGCTGCTAATAGATATACATACCTGAATTTTTACAGACTAGCGCCATTTTAATTAAATGTTTTTACAAGTCTTCATGACATTTAAATTGTTTAATTGTAAGTGATCAGTGACATCTAAATAAACCTTTCACTGGACTTAGACATATGTTTAAGGAAAAACCAAGGCAGAAAGCTGGTATTTTTATATTAAGGATTAAAGCCTTTATATAAGGCTGTCACTATCAAAATTTGAATACATATATATGAACAGATATGGATAGTACATCTATTACAGAAATTACAAATGCAACCATATAACCCCTTGGGGTTCAAATTAAAATGAGATCAGCTTACACAACATAATAGCTTACATTTTTTTGAATGTGTAGGTTAATGTGGATGTGTGCTCAGTTTTCTGCTCAGTACCCTTTGAACATGCTTAGTTATAGTAGTTTAAATCTACAGTGATGGATTTTTCTGTTTCAATTAACAGTGAGTGTTTACACTGCTATAAAGGAAATAATATCCAGTGTGAATCACACTGAACAACTAACCTGTGAACGTAAGTTATTTCAGCCCAAACACTCAGTTAAACAAGAGATTTTTGTCATGGCCTAAGAGCTAGAACTCCAAAGAAAGAATAGACTGAAAGAATTGGCAGCCCATTGGAGATAATGGGGCAACCTAAATATGGCTGATTATGTTAAGGAAGGCAAAAGATTATAATATACGTTTTGAGTTAACTTAAGACTTTGTAGAAAATCTTATCTTAAATCATGTTTTGAACTTTGATAAAATCAACTTGGGAATCAAAGTAGAGCCGATTCTGAAGATCTGCCCAGGCCAGTAGAGGTCATCAGGAGCTGTCTATCGTCATCTGTTTCCTATCCTTTAGGCTATCTTGAAATGATTGTCTATAAAGCATTGCCAGAAACAGCCTCTTTGGCCTCCCACACAAAAACAGGAGTAGTTTCATCAACCTCAAAAAGGGAACTAGAGAAAAAGCTTCTGTACACAGCTTCTCCACAAGTCAGCGTGCCTGCTTTTATCCAATATCACACACAGTGTGCGCTTGACACTCTCCTCTGTAAACTGTATCTATTCTCCAACTCCAAAGACAGAGCAGCAGGTTTTTTTCTTCTTCTTCTTCTTCTTTTCTTTTGTTCCATGGGGTCGTCTTTATCCCCAAACCACATCTGTCTTGAGTTTCTCTCAGATTAGTCAGGTGGATCAGTGCTCCCCGGGGCCTGCTCCAGCTGAAGTATTTTAATTTGACTAAACACCTGATTTATTTTATCTCTCCGATGAGAAAGGCAGTTTGTCTTAATAGAGCCTGTCAGCCCACAGCCCCATTCACAGCAATTTACAGGCAGCCAGGGACGCTGGAAGAGAAGAGTGCCGTGATTCTGTATTTTATCCTCCTCCAGAAAGCACCTAAAAGCAGCTATTCACTGCTACTGCATGTGGCATTTTAGAACTGAATTAGCTTTTTATTCAAGTAACTACACTTGTTGTGAATAGCTTATCTGTAAAATTGCTACATTCACTACTGATTTTATTAACCTTTGGCTCTATCACAAAATGGTCTTCAGTTAGGAAAGACCTTTAAAATTGACACATTTTTTTTCTGAGGGGCCTTTATTCCAGTGACTTCAGATTTACTGAATTTGATCCATTGAATTCTTTACCAGTTGTACTTAAATTTTTGAGTCTCAATAGGAAGTCAATAGTGCGTAAATAAGGAAACGCTTTTCAGAATGTAAATATGATGGCAATTTCCCTCATCAAAAGTTTTCAAATACCATCTTTTATTATAATAGTTTTAAAATCAGCCTTCTAGCTGTACCTAATCTGAAGAACTTGGGGAAAACTAACAAAAATAGAATTTGTTTTTAACTTTGCAAGCTATAACTACCTGTCCTTAGGCACAGAGTCACAGAGAAAACAAATAGATCTGGATGTAAGTAAAATATGATAATTATATAATCTTATCTATATAAATAATAAAATAATTCCTGTCTTTATTGAGAAAATTAAAATCAGAAATTGAGTTTAAAATTTATTTAAAAGTCTTTTTTTAAAAAAACATCAGACCATAAAAGTCAGCACCACAATCTGCTGGTTAATTTTGCCCATATGAAGTATATGTAATTAAAATCAGTGGTGCTAGAAATAAGTCTGAGCATTGGGAAGTCACTGAAGACTCCATATCGGACAAGGCAGAAAACCTGGAAGTACCTTATAAATGCAGATTTGCCTCACTCCTCTGAAGTATTCCCAAACCTATAACTTTTACTACGCAACTGTTTTTAACAGGTCATTCTCTTTATACCTTTAAGTGGGTCACTAATATGTCATGA